GTGCTCGGCCCTCACACATGCGAGCACGGCGACAAACCACTGCAAGACTGCAAGAGGCCTGCTCATGAGGCTAAGGCTTCAGTTTGCGCTGATCTGGAAAGGTATGATTCCTTGTGATCTTTCTGGATGTGCACTACAAGGTTGTTGGCCGATTGTTGGCCTCAACATCAATCTGCCAGACGAGGACTCGCACTTCTTCTAGCACTTGTACTGCAGACCTCGGGTCAGTCGTTCGTTACAGGTAAATCTACTAGCACCTCGACCCTGCCAACGGCTATTTCACCAGGCATACGTCTTCTGCAGGTGCAACTTACATCTCCAGGCTGCAAAGCTGACAATTTCGTCGGTCGACCGTCATCACCGCTTTGATGCTGAAGATGGTAAGGCTGATGAGTGTGCAGTCCCCCCAGAGGCGCCGGGTGCCACCATGCCGTCGCTGGTCATGTGTTGAACCTGCAACCGCATGGTCGTTGACTTCCATCGAAAGACTCTTCCGGAAGGGCAATCGGCCCTCCCCTGCACGATCTAAACTTTCACCGCGGACATGTGCACTGAAGCTTCTTGGATCCCAGATCCTTGCGCATGCATCTCTTGACTGCATGTCAGCACTAACCCTAAGGCTCCATGTACCCATATAGTAGATACTTAGGCCTTAAAGTACCTATATAGGGACCCCTTTGTGGCCTAAGTATCTACCATAAAGGTACATGGAGCCTTTGGGTAACAATGCACCGGACGACGTCGCACCGACCGACTCTGGCACCCTAAACCGCCGGAGCCCCCCGGGTGGCTTGGAATCTCCAGCCTCCGCTGTCCATGCCGTGGAGGGGGCCTTGGCAAAACTAGCGAGGGTTTAGGGTGTTCAGGCTTGGGTTTAGGGTTTAGGGTTGAGGGTTTAGGGTTTAGGGTTTAGGGTTTAGGGTTTAGGGGGGAATGCTCTGAGGCGTTGTCTAAGGCATTGATACCTATGCATGCTGAAGCGTTAGGTCAGGTCGGCTTGCGCTGTACCGTACCTTGAGCCTCCGTATTGTTATTGGGCCATGTGTGCTCATAAAGGCTTGAGGGCATTAATTAAGTTTTATAGTTTACGCTTTCCCAGGATTGAGTCCATACCTGGGCCCTATAACACCCCCCTTTCTAGGGCTCCTTGTTATAGTTTCCTTATGCAAGGGTTTAGGGTTTAGGGCCCTTCAAAAGCTAGGTTACTTGGGGTTAAGTGAAGGCTGCTCCGGGGCGCCCTGCTCTCAATCAGGGTCCTCAGTTGTCCTCGGTACCTATACCGGGCATACTTGCCCAAACCATAGTCCTCATACCTTAAGGACGAAATGACCCTTAAAAGTAGGGGCCCAATACCCTTATACTATGAATCCCAATATGGTATATTAACCTTAAATCTTTTTAGGGTTCATTCCGTCCTTAAGGTACTATAGACACGTACTTTCTACTGTGTAAGTACTGAGGGGCCTTTGGGACTCATTCCACCGCAGAGCAGCGGAAGTGCTCACACAACCCTATAAATCCTAAACCCTAAACCCCTCAACCCTAAACCCTAAACCATACTCACCACGACTTAACATCTGAACAACACCCAACCTCTCTGAAACCGAATCCTGCACCGACTATCAACAAAACGACCCTAAAACCTGAACCCGGAACTCACCGATTCCTTAGGGTTCCTTTCCTTATTATTATTATTATTACTACTATTATTATTATTATCATTCTTATGATTATTGTTACTTTCATGTTTATTTTTTCTGTTACATTTCTATTATCAAATCCCCGAACACCCTATTAATCTGCATAGCAGCAGGCCTTCGGAAGAATCTCGTCATCCTGCGCGCTGCAGCCGCCTTGAACGGGCCTTGCGGTCTTTTTGGGTGTTTGCGGTTTTTAAAGGTCTCTTGGGGAGGGCTTAGGGGTTAGGGTTAAGGGTTTAGGGTTTAGGGTTTTTGAGGTCCCTTGGGGAGGGTTTAGGGTTTAGGGTTTAGGGTTTTTGAGGTCCCTTGGGGAGGCACCACGCTGCCCGTTCCCTGCAGACTCTACCGGTCGACGGGAACCCGGTAATTTGGGGGGCCTTGAGAATTAGAATGGGGCTCCTTCAATGAAAGGGTTTGGTACTTATAAAGGGAGGCCCCACGGAACACTAATTGAGTGTATAGTATATATATATATATATATATAACGGTTTAGGGTTTAGGGTTTAGGGGAGTATTCGAGTTCGGTTCCTCTGACGGCTTAGTTTAAGGGCTCCAAGTTGAGTAGAACGATTATATCCTAAGGGTCCATGTACGTAACTAGTATATACACTGGCCCCAAAGTACCTATATACAAAGTAAATACTATAGAAGTACATGGACCCTTAGGCATATCTATTCAATGTCGAGCTTCAGCTGCATTAAAAAGCTGAAGCACCTGAAGCTTAGATGAGTTTGTTCATAGTTTCCAGGTTACACAGCAGATCCGAAATCCAAAGCACATGTACCTAGCACAACAAGTTTCAGCTGTCGTGTTGTGAAACTGCTACGAAACATGGGAAGTGTTTGCTAGCATTTAGGGTTTAGGGCTTAGGGTTAGCTCTCGATAGTCATCGCGGGGAGGCCGGCGGACGGGACCAAACAAGCTTCCCTTGGGGCACTGACTTATTACGAAGAACACGGACTCGGTCACTGACGGGGTGACGGATCAAACACACAAAGATCGAGACATTAAGCCTCGGGGATCATCAAAATTTTGGAACATGAAACGACGAATCAAGGCTTCTGACGAGAGCTTAAGTTCAGGCTGTAGAGTCGCAAGTCTTCAGGCATAATCAGAAACTACTGGGGGGGGGGGGGGGGGGCA